ATGCCTTTGACCAGAATCGAACCAGGGATCCTTGAGTCTGCAGGCTGACACCCTATCCACTGAGCCAAACTGGCTAGAGCTCAAAAATGTATTTAATACACCTAACCTAGTGAACACCATAGTTTAGCCTAGCCCACCTTCAATGTGTTTGGGACACTTAACATTAACCTACAGTTGGGCAAAATCATCACACAAAGCTTTTTTATAATGAATTGTTAAATGTCATTATTTATTATGTGTATCCCTTTTGCACCACTGTAAAGTTGAAAAGTCCTAAGTTGAACCATCGTAAGTCAGGGACATCTGTATTGTTTTTATTGTTATTTCTGTCCTCTGGGAGGATTAAATGCTTAGGATGATTACAGAGATAAGGTGTGTAACCAGCTTAGCACTGGCCTTGGTACAGTGTAGGGATTTAAAAAGTTAAAACATTTAAGGTGCTGGCATAGGGCCTCGTGCTTAAAGTATCCAACAAATGTCAAGTAAAAATAAGCAGCTGAAATCTTCACCCAAAAGAAATAGGGCTTATGTCGCCACACAGGTTTATAGATGGACATTTTCGCAGACATTCAGGTATGACATTTAAATCATACCTGAAGCCATGGCTGGTTTGGCTCAGTGGATAGAGCATCAGCCTGCAGACTCAAGGGTCCCAGGTTCAATTTTGGTCAAGGGCATGTACCTTGGTTTTGGGCACATACTCAGTAGGGAGTGTACAGGAAGCAGCTGATCGATGTTTCCAACTCTCTATCCCTTTCCCTTCCTCTCTTAAAAAAATCAATAAAATATATTTTAAAAATAAAAAAAAAAACAAATAAATAACTCATACCTGAAAACAACCCAGACATCCAATAGTAAAATGGACAAACACACTGTGATAAACACATTCCAGACACTGGAATATGACTCGGCAATAAAAAGAACGAATTGCTGATGCATTAACTGCATGGGTGATTCTAGAAGCGTTTATGCTAATGAAAGAAGCTAGACCCTCAAAAGCACATACTATTTATGTGAATCCATTTATGTGAAGTTCTAGAATATGCAAAACCCATCTATGACAAGAGGTAGATCAGTGGTTACGTGCAACAGGGGCCAGAGGAAAATTAGGGGGCACAAGGTCACACTCACTGGGAGGCTGCCTTCACGTATAGGCAGCATTTAGAGCCATCAGTAGCCCTGGCCAATGTTTCTCAGTGGTTAGAGCATTGGTCGCTCACTGAAAGTTTGCACGTTCAATTCCAGGTGAAGGGCACATACGTGGGTTGCAGTTTGCTCCCTGCCCCCAAGTTGGGAGCACTCAACCACTGAGCCACACAGGCCAGGCCCACTGTTTCTGAAAAGCAATGGAAAAAATATCTCCAGGCGGAGATAAATAATCAATAAGTAAATAGCTCAGCCAGCTTGGCTTCATGGTTGAGCATCAACCTATGAACCAGGAGGTCATGGTTCAATTCCCAGTCAGGGCACATCCTGGGTTTCGGGCTCAATGCCCAGTGCAGGGTGTGCAGGAGGCAGCTGATCAATTCTCTCTCATCATTGATGCTTCTATCTCTCTCTCCTTCCTTCCTCCTTGAAATCAATAAAAATATTTTTTAAACATATAGATAGATAGATAATGGCATTGTTAGTCAGAGTTGTCAGGATAGAGCCTCGGGGTCACTTCATTATGTAAGTAAAGATGCTGAAGCCCAGAGGGGGCAAGAAATGAGGCCCTTGATTCTTGATCTCGATTCACCTTAGCTCTTGTCCACATACCCTGTTGTCCCTCCTGGTGGACACTGGGAGTGTGTACAGAGCATCCTGTAGTATACAGTAGGAGCTCTATTAATGCCCCTGCACTTACCGAGGTGCAGCTTAAGGGCATGAAAAGGGTGCTGGTTTTAAAGGCAGATAGACCCGCCTCTTCCCTTGCCAGGGCTACCACTCCAGGGAGGGGGGACAACTTCTCTGAGCCCCTTTCCTTATCCAAGAGGAGGGATAATAAATGACGCCGTCTCCTGTCGTGACAAGCGCAGTGGTGGAAATAAAGCACAGAGACGTGACCCAGAGCACCTGCCAAGAGGCTGGCTGTCCCCGGGGGCGGGGCTGGGTGATGTTTGCCCTGAACAGGGAAGGCTGAGGAGGAGCCTTTAGGGGCGGGGTGCCAGCCAAGAAAACAGCAAGTGCGAAGCCCTGTCTCCTGTCTCCCTGACTCTTGCCCTGGTCCACCCTCCCGGCATCGTCTTCGAGGGGACAGCCCAGCTCTGGGTGGGGCCCTGCTAAGCCCTGACCCTCCCCACCCAGCCACCTTGTCACCCTGTGGCTTATCTTTCAGCTTCCACATGCCGGGAGGTAGTGCTTGTCCCTTCCTGCCGCCAAGTCTTGGCACCAGGAACCTGCAGGTGCCTACAGAGAGCTGTGTCTCTCTCCCCCCACTGTCTGTCCCATGTTTGATATCTATGGGATGGAGGCTCCAGGCCTCTGGAAAGTCTTCACTCACGGCTACCCTTTAGCTTGGGTCCAGATTCTGCATGCCCACAGTGACTTGCATGTCCACTCTTGCCCCCTCATTCATGACCCCATTCTGGGGACTTTTCTGCAGCCTCCACAATGGCCCAGTGACCTGGTCTCTCGTCACCAAGGGGCCGAGGGCTCTAGCAGAACTCAAAGAACCCTTAAATGACCTTGCTGGGCCTTGAACAAGTTCACCAGAGAAACTGGTGTGGGGAGGGGGGAGGGAAAGGGCGCGCCTGAAGTCACATGACCAGTGGACTACACTTGCAATCACTGAGCACTGCATCGTTCCCTGCCACGTTTTTATAGCTTTTCCTGCCTGTGTCTCTGCCCAGAGACAGTGAGCTCAGTGTCTGGTACATCTGGTTCCGGAGCTCGGTGCACAGGACAGGGTCTCACAGGATGCGGCTTACAGACTAAATGACTGAATAACAACAGCATCGATAATGATAGGCATGGAGGGGCTACTGTGTGCCAAGTACTTCCCGTTTACATCGATTAATTCAGTGAGTAGGTACAGACCCCCTGATAAGTGCCAGGAACCAGGATGCAGCCATAAACAAAAGACTAAAATCCCTGACCTTGTGGGCTGACATCCTTAAGAGGGACACAGTAACCAGAAAAAAAGAAGTCTAAGGTGACAGGCGCTTGGACAAAGGAGACAGGAGATAGGAAATGCTGGAAGGTGAGAGGGGATACAATTTTGTTTTATTATTTTGTTATTTTTTTTTAACATGTTTATTGATTCCAGATAGGAAAGGAGAGAGAGAGAAAGAGAGAGAGAGAGAGAGAGAGAGAGAGAGAGAGAGAGAGAGAGAGAGAGAGAGAGAGAGAGACATCAATGATGAGAGAGAATCCTTGATCGGCTGCCTCCTGCACACCCCACACTGGGGATCGAGCCCACAACCCAGGCATGTGCCCTGACCAGGAATCGAATTGTGATCTCCTGGTTCATGAGTCAACCTTCAACCACTGAGCCATGTTGGCCGGGCAAGAACAGGTACAATTTCAGATCGGGTGCCCCTGGAGGCCTTGAGTGAAGAACAGAAGGAAGTGAAGAGTGAGCTGTGTTACATCTTAGGAAAGAATGTGCCAGGCCGCGGGGAACGCCAATGTGAAGACCCAAGACATTAAGGGAAAGGGAGCACAGCAGGAGGGCTGAGATGCAGTGAGGGGGAAGTGTGATGGGAGTGGCACTGGGGTGTTCCCTGGACAGGTGGTCGCCTCTCTGCCTCAGTTTCCCCAGGTGTACAGTGGCGATGGTTCATCCTGCTGTGTTAGATTTGATCCTCGAGGCTGGGTAAGGTCCCAGCTCTGCCACCTGCCATCTATGCTACCTTGTTCTAGTAGCTTATGTTCTCCAAACCTCCGTTCCCATTTCTATAAACTAAAAATAAAAACGGTGCCAACTTCTAACAGATTATGAGAATTTGTTGAAATCAAGCATGTAAAGCATTGTGTCTGACACTAAGAAAGTACTAGAAGTTATAGTTCCTCTTTTTTTAAATCATCATCATCTATTTCTATCCCTAAGAAACTGGGGCACAGAGAGGTTAAGTAACATGCTCAGTATCACACAGCTAACGAGCATCAGCTGGAATTTGAGTACAGATCTAATAGCTCTTATCCTCTGGATCATACTAAACCCTCAAGTGAGTGAGTGGTATTGGGGTGTCTTAGGGGACCCCACTCCAGTTCTGAGCCAGTTGGGAACAAGGATAAAGAAAAGGCTGCTGGGTGCCAAATGACCATGGTTGTTGTTGATAAAAGCTAGGCAGGACTGGAGACTGTGGTGTCTGTCGGTACCTCATGTACTTCTCTTTCTGTTTCATTGTTGAGAGTATTACAGCTATCCCCCTGGAGATTGTTGTGCTAAGCAAAATAAGCCAGTAAAGTACTTCTTTTTTTTAAAAATATATTTTATTGATTTTTTACAGAGAGGAAGGGAGAGGGATGGAGAGCAAGAAATATCGATGAGAGAGAAAAATCAACCAGCTACCTTCTGCACATACCCCACCGGGGATGTGCCCGCAACCAATGGACATGCCCTTGACCAGAATCGAACCCGGGACCCTTCAGTCCCTAGACCGACGCTCTATCCACTGAGACAACCGGTCTTAGTGGTAAAGTACTTCTTGACACCAAACCCCAGAAAGACATTTCCCTCTAGTCACCAGCTACACTGTCACAGAGTGGGGGCAGCTGAGGGTCAGCTCCTCCCAGGGAAAGGTTAGGCCGATCTGAGCATGCCCAGTTTATCCTCCCCGTCCCCACACCTCCCCTGAGGCAGGACAAGCCAAGGGCCAGAGCCAGACTGAGGCTCCATTCCCAGGAAAGAGAGCTCCCACATAGAGAAGGTCCAGCCTTTCCCCTAACAAATGAGTGAAGGAGCGAGCAAGCCGAGGAGTGAATGCTCGACTCCCCGGTTTGGACCGGGCAAAGGGCGAGATGTCCCTGTGTGTCCCCCGCCCCCCTCGCCATCCTCACTCTGTTCTCGTCCACAGTTGCAGGGGCTCTCATCGCTGACTTCCTGTCTGGCCTGGTGCACTGGGGAGCCGACACGTGGGGTTCCGTGGAGCTGCCCATTGTGGGGAAGGTGCGTATGTTGGCTCAGCCCCAGCCCGTCTCCTCTGGAGGGGGGTCGGGCTCTCTGACGTTGGGTGAGTGAGTTCCCTTTCCTGTCTGAGCCTCTGCTTCCCTGTCTTTGGGTGGGAAAGAGAGTGGAGCTTGTCTCCCTCTCCCCACATAGCCCAGGGGGGGAGGGGGAGAGGCAGGCCCAGAGGGGAGCAGGACCAGCCCGAGGTCCCTGCCAGGTCTTTTTGACTTATCTCCCGCTAGAACTAGACTGTGAAGACTGGGTGGGGTCTGTGGCCTCAGGGCCATGGTGTGAATGTCCTGGCATCCCAAAGCCACGGAGGTGAGCTGGAGTTATGCGTGTGCTGGAGACTGGGAACGGCTGGCCAGCACAGACCAGTGGTTCTCACCCTTCCTAATGCCGCGACCCTTTCATACAGTTCCTCATGTTGTGGTGACATAAAATTATCTTTGCTTCTGCTTCATAGCTAATGTTGCTACTGTGAACGAATCGTCATGTAGATATCTGTGTTTCCCGGTGGCCTTAGGGGACCCTCAGGTTGAGCACCGCTGCTGTAGAGCCTAAGACCACAGCCGATATTTAGATGACGATGCATTAACAGTAGCAAAATTACAGTTAGGAAGTAGCAGCGGAGATAACGTTATGGCTGGGGTCACCACAGGAGGCGCTGTATGAAAGGGCCGCGGCATCAGGAAGGTTGAGAACCACCGGCACAGACAGACCGGCTGGATCCGTCCTCACGCCCGCCTCCCTGTCCCACCCCAGGCGTTCATCCGGCCGTTCCGGGAGCATCACATCGACCCAACGGCCATCACACGTCATGACTTCATCGAGACCAACGGGGACAACTGCCTGGTGACGCTGCTGCCATTGCTGAACATGGCCTACCAGCTGCGCACCCAGAGCCCTGGTGAGCGTGCCCGCTGGGGGCGGGCCTCCGGGGGCCACGGAGACTAACACCCGTGTGCCCTGAGCCTCCTGTGGCTTGTGTGTGTGCTTGGGGCCTCACAGTGTTATAAGGAATTAGTCCTCTTCATATACAATTGGGATATTGGACATAAAGGCCTGTGTTTCCGGCTTTTCTTAAACAATCCCATCTGGCCACCCTGGGCCTTGGACTTCTTCACTGGGCTGGAGCTGAGCTGCGTGCAGCTGCCACCTTCAGACAGGAAGGCCCTCTCTCCGGTTTGCCACAGTCCCCACTACTCCCTGCTGTCCCACACCCTCCACCCCCTTGCTTATTGGTATTACCTGCCTAAGAGCTGGTTTTGCCGCCCTGGCTTAGTGGGAAGAGTATCCGCTGTGAACTCAGTCCTGCATTCAGATCTCTGCCCTACCTAGGGAGGGAACTTGTCCCAAAATAAGGCACTTCATCTCTCTGAGCTTTATCTGTCAGGTGGGGGAATGAGTCCTGCCTTGGCCAGGTCTTATTTTAACCATTTAACACCTCCCTGACCCTCAGAGCAGCCACCCTGTGGGTAGGTGTGATGAGTGTCCGTGGCAGTAGGTACTGCGGTGCCCCTCCCACACCCTCTTCCCAAGGGTGGAACCGGCCCTCACTGAGAGCTGCTATGCTAGGACAGGTCCCGCCTCGCCCCTGGGGATAAGCCTAAAGCCAGTGACGGAAAACACCCACAAAAGACCAGCTCCCTCATTTCTTTCTTTCTTTTTTTTTTTTTTTTCAGTCTTTAATATGCCTTTATTGCTTACATGACCTGACAATGTTTCCTTTGGGGGAATACATGTCCCATACCTTTTTTTTTTAATTTCTTTATTGATTAAGTATCACATATTTGTCCTCATCCCCTCCCCACGTATGCCTCCACCCCCCTGTTGTCCATGGCCACTGGTTAGGCTTATAGGCCTTTGGTGGATCTCTCTCCCTTTCCCCCACCCTCCCCTACCTTCCCTCTGAGGTCTGACAATCTTACCAATGCTTCCCTGTCTCCGGGTCTGTTTGGGACCAACTCTATGGAGCCATTAACACTCCAGAGTCCCCCTCAGTATCTGCTGAGGCAAGACTCCCCCACCCCATCTCTGCTTAGCGCTTCCCCTGCCCCACTTCCCTCATTCCCTCAGATGTTTCTCCAGAAGAGAGAGTTCCCCTCAGTCCCTCACCCCCAATAAACCACAACGCCCCCAAATTCTTCTCAGGCTGTGCTTCTAGGAAACCTGGACAAAGACTTAGTTCCATTTTTTAAAATATTTTTTTATTGATTAGGGAGAGGGAGAGAGAGAGAGAGAGAGAAACATCAATGATGAGAGAGAATCACTGATTGGCTGCCTCCTGCACACCTCCTGCTGGGGATTGAGACCAAAACCCGGGCATGTACCCTGACCAGGAATCCAACCATGACCTCCTGGTTCATAGGTCAACACTCAACCACTGAACCATGCCAGCTGGGCAACTTATTTCCATTTTATTGATGAGGAAGTTAAGACTCAAGAGGCAGGGTCACTGACCCAGGTTCATACAGCCAAGAAATGTCATAGCAGCAATCTGAACCCAGCGCTGCAACTTCAGAGCCCATGTTATTATTTCTGCTTATTCGTTATCAGCCCACTGAGCTAGCTGCTGAGGCCACTGGGGAGGCTGGAAGGAGGTCTGGATGCTACCCTGGGGTGGGAGCTGCCCGGGGCGAGTGACAAGGGTCCGACGGTGGTCAGCCCCCAACCCATGTGACAATTATGTACCCACCCTCTCCCACCCTGCAGAAGCCCTGGAGCAGCTGTACGCCTGGGAATGCTTCGTCTTCTGCCTGATCATCTTTGGCACCTTCACCAACCAGATTCACAAGTGGTCACACACGTACTTTGGGCTGCCACGCTGGGTCGTCCTCCTGCAGGACTGGCATGTCATCCTGCCACGTAAACACCATCGAATCCACCACGTCTCACCCCACGAGACCTACTTCTGCATCACCACAGGTGCGGCTGTAAGGCGGCATAGGACAGGTCACCCCCTCCCCCTCCAGCTACACCTCCATCCAGATCCTCAGGGTCCGGAGGGCACAGGGCACAGTGCAAGGTCATGCAACCCTTGCCCTGTGGGAATGCTCTCTCAGAACACATTTATTGAGCACCTACTATATGCCAGGCACTCTTCTAGGTGCTAAGGACACAGCCATAAACAAGGCCCCACCTCATGGAACAAATGTGTATTAAGCACCTACTCTATGCCAGGCACAGCACTCAACAAAACTGGCAAAAATCCTGTCTTCAAGGCATTTACATTCTAATAGGGGACATTCCAGACAACAAACAAGCCCCACATCTGCTATGGAGGACAATAAAGCAGACGTGGAAGGAAATGGGGAATTCGCCCTTTAAGAAGGGTGGTAGGGAAGCCCTCACTGAGAAAGTGACTTTAAACAGAGGGAGAAAGTCATGCAGATCTGAAAGAAGGAACAGTGGGTGCAAAGGCCCTGAGGCAGGAGCATGCACTTTTGTTTGAGGAGCTGCAAGGAGGCTATTGTGGCTGGAGTGGAGGGCGTGGGGGTAGAGTGACAGGAGAGATGACAAAGTCCCGGTCTGAGAAATGCTACAGAGGAAAACATAGCAGGGTGAAGGGCAGAGAGTCATGGGGGGAAGAGGGAGATAACTGTGCATATAAGGAGGTCAGAAAGCTGGAATGTGGTAGGAGTACAAATACTTGCAAATAAATAAGGAAGGATCAGTTCAAGCATGTGCAAATGTGCTGAGGCAGAAAGATGTCTGAGGAACGGTGAGGAGGCACACATGCCATTGGTAATGGGCCAGTGCCACCAGCGAGGTGAGTGGATCAGGTGAGCACGTTTCCTAGGGCTAGTTGGATTTCTTCCAAGGTGAAGTACATAAGGTGCTATCAGGTCAGACCAGGTTAGGTTCACCTATCATCTCCTCCATGGGTGCCTTTAGGAGACTCAAGCCTTCCCGGATACTGTGTTTTTCATCTACAAAATGGGTCTGCAGGCACTTCCTTCACATACCACCTTTTCAAGGCTGGGTGTGAATGGCAAGATGGCAGATACAAAGTGCTTGGCACGCAGTAGGTACTCGATAAACTACCGGGTCTTGGGAGAGGGATTGTTTTCTTTTTCTGGAGGCAGAACTGAGAGCCACAAAAAGTATTTTTTTGCTCTTTGAGAGAAGGTGGAGAGGATAGAATTTAGGCTGTTTAGGAGTTCAGTTAACCGCTTAGCTAGGCCTGGGATCAATCTTGGTTTGGCCTGCTACTGATTGGAAAACTTTCCTCTAAGTCTCCATTTTCTCATGTGGAGAAATGGACTGATAATTGTGTCTACCTTGTTTGGTTGGGAGATTGTAATGCAGATAGGAAATAAAATTGTGAAGAAATATGAATTGAACACCTGTTATGTTGTAGAATACCATTCTTGGCACTGAGTATGAACAGTGAAGAAAACATGAGGTCCTGCAAAAACATGGAAGTGCTGAATTAATGAGCTTAGTTACATGATCAGGAAGGCTGTAAAGAAATAAAAGAGGGACACCACAGGCCTGGGGTGTGGTTTAAGCGGTGGTCAGGGAAAGCTTCCTGGGAGAGCTGGCATTTGAGCCAAGTGATAAGGAACGCTGCCACTGTGCTTAGCATAGAGTAAGTGCTCAGTAAGAAAGTGAATGAATGAGGGTCTGAGGGAATTTTGGAGCCCCTCTGAGCCCATTGGTGAGAGGCCTCTGTTCCTTGTCCCCTTCCTCCTGCCAACCCACTCCCTATTGCTCCTGCCTCAGGTAGGACCGGCTCTCTCTCTCTCTATTCCCTCAACTGCTCCTCCCCCATTCAACCCCTTGGTGCCCTGTTCCACTGCAGGTTGGCTCAACTACCCTCTGGAGAAGATGGGCTTCTGGAGACGCCTAGAGGACCTTATCCAGGGCCTGACGGGCGAGAAGCCTCGGGCGGATGACATGAAATGGGCCCAGAAGATCAAGTAACTCCTCCGGCCTGCCATATCATTGCCAACCTTCCTTAGGCTCCCCAAACCGAAGCCATCTGCCAAACGTCAGCCTTCCTCGTGCTGGCCCCTCCATGTGGAGAGGACACCTCCTGAGCTGGGCCTGGGCACCCCCAGCCCACCCTTTGTGACACAGAATACTTGAGCCACTGATTTTTTTCATTTCCTTTCTCTTTTTCTCCCGTTTCCTTTCCTTGGTCCCCTCCTTAACTACCTGAGCTGTCCTGCCTGCCAAGCCTGGCTGCAGAAAAAGGAGCCCCTTGGGTAGAGGGGAAGTTCCTTCACTCTCCACACTCTGACCTTCCCCAGCCCCACTGGGCAGCCCTTCCGTGTGGCTGGCATTAGGACCACTAATCCTCTCATCTGTCCCTCCTTGTCTTCTCCCAGTGGTCTAGGAGCCCCGAGCACACCTGAGTGTCCCTGGAGCAGTGCCCTGCCATAGCCCTGCAGATGGACCCTAAGGGCCTTGGTGGACAGTCCCAGCCGGGCCTGTCTGTGTAAGGATAGCAAGGTACAGCAGGGGTCTGAGGGCAGTGGCCAGAAGAAGCCAGAACCCCTGCCCATGTCTGGACCGTCCTCCCTTCCCCTCCTCCATCTGCCCACGTGATTCCAGCCAGAGCTGACGTTTCCACGTGAAAGAAGGATGACTTCCCAGGGCACAGCCCCCGCGCTGGGTCTGGATCATTTGGAAGGGGACACGGTATTCCCTCCAGCCAGGGGTATGTCAGAAGGAAGAGTGGGCTTTTTTTTTTTTTTTTAAGGTGCTTGCTTGTCTAATGTAAATAGAAAGCCTTAATATCTTTTCTGTAACACGGAGTGATATTTTAATGTCATGTTTTGGACATAATATATTTATAACAAAGCAGCAAGAGTCTACTTAACCTGGGCTGCCTCTTGTTTCCTGGTTGGCCGGGGTAAGGGCGCCCCACCCCTAGCCTATTCCTAGCTCCCCAGTCCTCTCCCCCACAACTCCGGGCTCAGGATGGGGGCTCTGTCACCTGAGACAGTGAATTAATGTTGATATCCCCTTCCAACACTTGGAGGGGACTCATGATTTGGTAAGGAATAGTCTTCTTGCAGGAGATCATGATGATAGAGTATTGAGGCTGATCCCCATTAGTGAATTCCTTCAGCAAATGTTTACTGGCATCTAGTGTGTGCCAGGCTCTGACCTGGACCCTGGGGCACAGAGTGAACATAAACAGGAAAGGACGTACCCTAGTGGAGATGACCTCCTGGGCAGAGGGACAATAAACAAATAATTGCACATGGGCATTCAGATGTTGATTTGTAAAGAAAATCAAACAGCACAGAGAAAGCAGAGTGGGGCTGTTTGGCAGTGTGGTCTGGGAGGGCCTGTCTGAGGACGTGACATTTGAGCTGAGATCTAGAGGAGGGTATGGAGCCAGCTGAGGAAAGAATTGGGGAAAGAGGCCTCTCGACTGGACAGCAAGTGCAAAGGTCCTGAGGCAGGAACAACTTGGAGTTTTTAAGAGACGGTGTGATTGGACTGAAGTGAGCAAGGGGAAGGTGGAAGATGAGGTTAGAAAAGAACCTCTTAGGCTGAGACAAGTGGGGAGACACTGGACATTTCAGACAAATGAGTATCTTGTTCATTCTTTGAACAAATTATAAGGCATTTCCTATGTGCTAGGCACTGGGGGTCAGTAGTGAACACTACACACATTACAGTCAATATCTAGTTTTGGCTAGAGAATTTCTACAATAGTAGAAGAAAAAGCCTGTTGATGGCAGAGAAATGACAAAAGACTCTTAGAGCAGTCACAGATAAAGCACTTTTTAAAAATTGTGACCCATAACTTTAATTTCCTTAAAGTTTGTCTCTCAGTTGATTTTTAATTTGTGATTGTCTGAAGGGACCATAAAAGGAAAGGGTTTTAAAATTCATCAACTCATAAGTTACAGAAAACTTAATAAAAAATAATTTTATAAGTTCATATAACTGAAAAGTTCACAAGTGAACTTAACAGTTTGGCAGGACTCAGGGGCTCACATGACTCATTAGAACTTGGTCTCTGACTCGTTCTTCTTTTTCTCTGAGTTGACATTGGACCAGCTCAGCAATCTCAGTGGGAAGTCTCCTTTCCCAGTAGTTGCAGCAAAAGCCCCAGGGCAGGTTCTCATTGGCCTGGATGGGGTCATGTGTCTATTTCTGAACCAATCACCTTGGGGGAAGGAGGGCATGGACTGGTGAAAAGGTGTTTTGATTGGCCAGGTCTGAAACATGTTCACCTGGAATTGCAGAGACAAAATCAACATTTTCCAAGCCACAGGATGTGAGGAGAGGGATGGCTCCCAAAAGAAAAGGTGTCGTCAAAGAAATCTACAGTGGGATGGGCTGACAGCCAAACCCTTTGGAGGGACCAGAAAAGCAATCTTGGCACTGCAGGTGTTGGTTTCCCACTCCCAGGCCTGCTGGAGAGATTTTCCGGGCCCTACCAACATGTGTTAGTTCTCCTGAGCCAGCAAAAAAACAACCCGAGTCCAGAGAGGTGAAGTGACTTGCCCACAGCTGGTAAGGCAGAGCCAGGCCTCATGCTCAGACTGGTTTCGTGCTCTTGAATTCAAAAATGTGTTCAAAACCAGAAGGAGGCCTGGCAGGCATGGCTCAGTGGTAGAGCGTCGACCTATGAACCAGGAGGTCACCGTTCGATTCCTGGTGTTGCAAACAAGTGCCTAAGAGAGCAGGGCACTTACTGAGAACTTATGTGCCAATCTGTGGAGAGCTCTCTGCATTGGGTCCCATCAGGCAGTCCCTACAGCTCTGAAAGGGGAAAACACCCAGCCCCATTTGCTAATGGGGAAACTGAGGCAACGAGGTCAGGTAACATCCTCAAAACTGGTAGATGGTAGGGCTGGAATCAGCCCTGATCTGACCCAGAGCCATGTGCTCTAACACCTGCCTTCAGCCCACGTGGAGAGAGGAAGGTGTAGAGGGAGGTGTCCAGTGACACACGTTCCCCCATGAGAAAACAGCAACAGCGCAGGATGAGAAGCAGCAGCTGACACTGAGAACCTGGATAGCCTGCAGACAGCAGGCCCCAAAGGGCAGCTGCTACTCAGAGGAACTGGGCTCGGGGTGGTAAATAAATATACAATACGATATACAGATGATGTACTGTAGAATTGTATACCTGAGACCTATATAATTTTATTAACCAAATGTCACCCCCAATGAATTCAAGTAAAAATATTTTTAAAGTTAAATAAAAAGGAGCTGCAAACCCAGATTTTTTAAATGCTGGTTCCATTTTTTTTTAACAAACTTGAGCAAAATAAAGCGTATGTGTGAGTTGACTTCTGGCCCCGACTTCAGTGGAATTGTGCTGCTATCTGGTGGTGGAGGGAGGCAGGTGGCAGTGCAGGAAAACAGGGATTTCCAGCTCAACTGAAGGTCGTGCATCCTCTGTGCTCACTTCTTAGAGGGGTCTGGGCAGGGTACCTGCACCCAACTATATCCCATCTCCTTTGTGTTGTTTTTTTTTTAATATATTTTATTGATTTTTTACAGAGAGGAAGGGAGAGGGAATAGAGAGTTAGAAACATCGATGAGAGAGAGTCATCGATCAGCTGCCTCTTGCAAACTCCCTGCCGGGGATGTGCCCACAACCAAGGTACATGCCCTTGACCAGAATCGAACCCAGGACCTTTCAGACAGCAGATGGATGCTCTATCCACTGAGCCAAACCGGTTTCGGCAACCCATCTCCTTTGGATAAACATAAAATTTCAGGTTCCCCTCTTAAGCATTACTTTGTAATAGTAATGCATATAAGAAGTAAAACATTAGAATCAAACAATATAAAAGGGTCTAGAGCAGAGGTCAGCTGATTGCAGCCAGTAGGCCAAATTGGGCCCACTTGTTTTTCCATGGCCCTGTGAGCATTTAAATAAATTTCTTTTATTGATTTCTAGAGAGATCGAGGAAGAGGGAGATGAAAGGCGAGAGAAGAAACATTGATTTGTTGTTCCATTTATTTATGCACTCATTGGATGATTCTTGTACGTATTCTAATCGGATATTGAACCCAGAATCTTGGCATATTGGGGCAATGTTCTAACCCATGAGCATTTTTAGTTTTATTTTTTTAAATATATTTTTATTGATTTCAGAGAAGGAGAGGGAGAGATAGAAACATCAATGATGAGAGAGAATCATTGATTGGCTGCCTCCTGCATGGCCCCTACTGGGGATTGAGCCCACAACCTTGGCATGTGCCCTTGACCAGAATCAAACCCGGGACCTTTCAGTTCACAGGCTGACGTGCTATGCACTAAGCCAAATTGGCTAGGGCCTATGAGCATTCTTTAAAGTTGTGGGGAAAATATTTCCTAACACATGAAATTCAAATTTTAGTATTGATCATAACTTTGTGTTGACACACAGCCACACCCATTCACTTGCATACTGTCTATGGCCGCTTATTCAATTCAGAGGCAGTTGAGAGACCAAATGGCCTACAAAGCCTAAAATATTTACAGTTTAGCTCTTTACTGAAAAACTTAACCAACTCCTGATCTAGAGTGAAGAATAAATTGCTTCCTACTTTCATTACCCAAGCCCTCAGTTCCCCTCCCCAAAGGCCATCATTTCAACAAGACCCTTGCAAGTCCTTTATATAGGCAGGGAGGCATGTCTACATAAAATAGGTAGAATATAATATACACAGTTCTGCACCTTACCTTTTTTTCACTCAATATATATGTGTGTATATATACATATATTTTTTATTTTATTTTAATCCTCGCCCAAGGATATTTTTCCCATTGATTTTTATTTTATTATTTTATTTTATTTTATTGTTTTAGAGAGGGTGGAAGAGAAGAGAGAAACTTGGATGTGAGAGAAACACATCAACTGGTTGCCTCCTGCATGAGCCCTGATCAGGGTAAGAGCCTGCATTCAAGTATGTGCTCTTGACCACAATCAAACCCGAGAACCTTTTGATCTGAAGGCTGA